GCCGTTCGGTTGTTCCAGGGGTGACCGGGTTTAAGTGGCGGCACATGCCAAAATCCTGGTGGTCTGCCGTTCGTATAACGAATAGGCAGCAGGCCCGTAGTTCGGGAGTTAGGTATCAAATCCCAGTACTGTAGTCAAACTCTGGGTGAAATGTAACAATGAATAACATTCGCTTCTGAGTTGTAGCGATCCAATAACAGTAACCAATAGTTTGTAACATGTTCTGTCTGCATAATTTATGTAGGGAGTATGCAGGTACCCCAACCAACGGACTGTATTTAGCTGTAGTAAATGTGAGAATTGCCTGTTGTCCATCTGGACAAGATCTTGTGTTTAGTGAATCACCCTGTTGGTTGCATTAGTATTCAGTCCCTTAATAAATACTTGATAGAAACACCTTTCACTGACTCTTGTGCAAACCTAACTTTGTGAATAATCCAATGGATAATCCTATTGTTCATGTTCCATCAAAACGGATTAGGACAATTGTTGAATAGCAATGTTCAAGCCTTTGAAGGTCACATCAGAAAGCTACATTGGAAGTGTCAAATTAGAACACATGTAAATACCACTGTAACATACTACAACTACAAACACCTAATTGATACATATATTTAATTTAGAATGTACAAAGTTTTTCTTTTTGGCCCATTATACTTTTAGAGGATACCAATTTTTCTTTAAATTTGTATTGTATTCAGATACACCACATTTTCTTCCTTTTGTGTGTTTTCAAATTTCATATTTTATTTAGTATGATTTTTAATAATAGTTAAGTATAAACTTTTCATTTGACACCATCTTCTCTATTTTCATATAGAGTATTTAATTCATGCCACTGTTCGGCTCCACTAAATTTTGGTACAAAAAAAAATTGGGAAGCAAATTGGACAGGAAGGAGGAAAAATTATGCTACCTGTAACTGTGATGAAATGCACAAATAGCTACAATATTGCTTGGCCTAATGGGTATGCAATATCAGGCATTTTCGCAATGTCGATTCTGAGTGGCCAAAATTTAATTATTGTATATCTGGATAAAACAAATAGGAAGTGAGAGTACTTAGTTTTATAATCACTGGTTGCAATATTTTTCCTTTTGCTATCTGTTATTAATGTAAAATAGGGAGTGATTTCAAGTTCCAAAAATGAAAGCAAAAAGTCAGTGGGCAATGGGCCACCTACTCACCTTTTTCTCCCTCACAAGAACAAAGCTTTCTTACACATTCTGTCTGTAGCATGTGAAGTAACCATCCTTCAGTGTGGAAAAACATGCCATATCAACTTTTGTGGATGCACCACAAGGCAGGCAGGTAGAGTTGAGCGGACACCTGGATGTTCGGGTTCACCAAGTTCGGCTGAACTTCATCAAAAAGTTCGAGTTCGGGCTCGAACTTGACCCGAACTTGACTCTGAACCCGAACCCCATTGAAGTCAATGGGTACCCGAACTTTTGGGCACTAAAATGCCTCTAAAAAAGTTCTGGAAAGGGCTAAAGGGCTGCAAAAGGAAGTAAAATGGGGTAAGAGTAGGACAAGTGCCCTGCAAACAAATGTGGATAGGGAAATAACTTAAAATAACATAAAATAAGCAGCCGCATAGTAGATAACTCCCTAATTCCCATGGTATAAGGGAGCTATCTACCAAAAGGCTGAATGACCTAAATTGGCCATCCAATCAGAGTGCTCTGAGAGGTAAATGAAGAGACTGACAAGTAAGTCTCTACATTTACCTGTCACAGCACTCTGATTGGTTAGCTTGAAATCCACCAATCAAAGTGCTCTGTGTCAATTTACACAGCGTGGGAAGGTTCTTTGGAATTTTCCCACGCTGTGTAATGTGACTCATAACAACACTCTGATTGGTGGATTGAAAGTAACCAATCAGAGAGTTATAAGTCAAATTACGCAGCATGGGAAAATTCCAAAGAGCAAAATGACACAGAGCACTCTGATTGGCTGGATTTCCAAAAGACCAATTAAGGTCTTTCAGCCTTTTGGTAGATAGCTCACATGCTGCACTGGCCAATCACAGCCATGCCATTAGTAGGCATGGCTGTGATGGCTTCTAAGGGCACACAAGTCAAACGCTTGTTTATTGGCAGCCCTGCAGCCTTTCAAAACCTGCCATTAAATTGCCGATGTCAGGATTACTAGTTGACCCAGCACGTAGAATGGCTGTGATGGCTTCTAAGGGCACACAAGTCAAACGCTTGTTTATTGGCAGCCCTGCAGCCTTTCAAAACCTGCCATTAAATTGCCGATGTCAGGATTACTAGTTGACCCAGCACGTAGAATTGTGTCACACAGATGACTAATAGGTAACGTATTACTTAACGTACCAAAGAATAGTCAGGATACTTGCCGAAGTCAGGGGATACAGAAAGAGACACAACGATAAGGGAAAGCCAGAAGTCACGGATACCAGAATACAGGGAAGTCAAAATCAAATCCAAAGTAAAAAAACAGAAGAAACTTAAATCAGGAACGCACTCTCGGACAACCACTAGGGAAACCACGACAGGGCACTGAGCAGAATGAGCACTGGGCCTAAATACCCTCTAGATCTGATAGGCTGTAACTGGCCTTTGACCCCAAAGGCAGTTACCAGGTTCCCAATTGCTGCTCAGCATTAACACTTCTGTGGATTTGGTTGCTGCCCGGCACAACTTTTCCTGTGTGGACAGTAAATGCCATTAACCACATTTTTAGAAGCGGATGAATACGTGACAGCCGAACACCAAACTCCAACCCGAACATACACTGAAATGTCCGTGTTCGGGTCCAAAAACCATAATGTTCAGTACGAACCTGAACTTTACAGTTTGGGTTCGCTCAACTCTACAGGCAGGGCAAAACCACTACAATGAACAGCATTTAAAAATAGGATTGGATCCTAGTGTGATACTGGTTAGGTTACTACAGTGCCTAGCCAAGCCCCAATAACCCATAAAGGGGGATATTCAGAACATGGATGTGAGCCCAGGGACAGAGGTGTCAGACTATCAGAAAGGAGGTTCAATCTGAGTTAGAACAATATCAGCAATAACCTTTGTACATGAGCCCAGGGAGAAAAGTGGCAACTGCCAGTGAAAGAAGAGTGACCTTAGGTCCCTGCAACGGTACATAAAACACTGCAGTTCTTTACAGAGCGAAACACTACAACTCTATCTCCACAAGCAATAACCCCTAAAGGGGGTATTTTAGCTCAAATTGGAGCAGGAGACTGTATTTGCCTGTCAGTCTAGTTAAAAAGTGGTCATCACACCCCTAATACTAAGAAAAAATGAAGCTGTGAGCTAATGGCTCTTCTGCAATCATTTTGTATCTGTATTAACATGTAGAAATGGGTAGCCAAGCAAAAGGTAGGTTTAATTTAATAAAATGTCATTTTCTCATCTAAATCTGGTGAGAGCTGTGTCAGGGATTAAGGATGTTGCCAGTAACTAAGAAGACTCTTTTACTCTGAACCGTTGTAAGTGTGCATTACAGCAATTGTTGTGCAACCAAACTAAGCCCTGCTTACATCTGACTTTTTTATTCCCAGTAAGTAAGATGCTCTCTAGTAAAAGCTAAAGTAGGTTCTCAAATGTATGCTTCAAACATTTTAGGCGTGACTCTGTGATGATGATGATGATATTGCTCCATTGGCACTGGTACGAGCTGTCACGATTCGGGGAACCAAACACGCCAACACACACACACAAAGTGTAGTACCGGACATTAGAGTGGCCGGGCTAAGCACACAAAGAATAGTCAGGAAACAAGCCGAGTAAAGGGGAACCAGAAGACAGAATAACGATAGACAAGCCGAGGTCAAAGGGTAGGAGAAAGTCACAAAGCCGGATAAACAAGCCAGAGAGTACGTAACCAGAAACACAAGTTCAGTAGCAATACTAGCAATTAAAGACCACAACAGGGCGGAGAGGAACAGGAAAGGTAAGTATTTAAATCCACAGGTTAATTCTGATTGATAATTCTGATTGGAAATTATCCAATCACACGTGGGAGATATCTAAACCTCCCACTGTGATTGAGGCACTGTGCCTTTAACGCCGGGTCAGGTGACTGACCCCGGTGTTTGTTAAAATGGGCGGTCTCCCAGCGTGCAGCGTCATGCATGCTGCCGCTGGGGGACACAGAGGAAGACGCGGGCGGCATCCGTGGCTGGGAGGATGCTGCCCGCCGAGCGCACGCCAGGAAGGGGACCACGGACGGCTGGAGGGTGAGTGCCGCGAGCAGACTGCAACCTCCCCTCGCAGCCGCCCGCGGGACCCTGACAGTACCCCCCCTCGAAGACGCCCGGAGAGCGGGAAGCAGAAGACTTCAAAGGAAACCAGGCATGAAAGGAGCGGACCAAAGAGGGGGCGTGCAAATCAGAGCTCGAAACCCAAGACCGCTCCTCAGGGCCGTAACCCCTCAAATCCAACAGGTATTGCAGCCGACCCCTAGAAACACGAGAGTCGAGAAGGGCAGCCACTTCGTACACGTCACTAGAGACAGTGCGAGGGGAAACGGGCCGTCCGAGGGACGAGAGAACCGGTTACACAGTAAGGGCTTCAAAAGCGAAACGTGAAACGTGTGCGGAATACGCATGGAAGGAGGCAAGTCCAGGGAGTAGGAAACGGGGTTAATCCTACGTAACACTTTGTAGGGACCAAGAAACCTGGGAGCAAACTTCATCGAGGGAACCCTGAGACGGAGGTTCCTGGAGGACAACTACACCCTATCACCTGGAGCATAAGAAGGGGCTGCACCCCTACGGTGATCAGCAAACTTCTTCTGAGCAGCTGTTGAACGAGACAGCGCAATATGGACCTGATCCCACGTCTTCCGCAAAGAGGCGAGGTGCTGGTCCAAGGCGGGCATTCCCTTGTCAGAGAACGCACCGGGAAGGACAGAAGGCCGAAACCCATAAGCAACCTCAAAAGGACTTAAGCCAGTAGACGAATGCGACACCGCATTCCTGGCAAATTCAGCCCACGGAAGCAGGCGAGACCAGACGTCCTGGTGCGCATTAGTGAAGCAGCGCAAATACAATTCCAAGGACTGATTAGCATGTTCGGCTGCACCATTTGCGGGTGATAGGAGGAAGTGAACGACAAGGAGACCCCCATCTCAGCACAAAAGCCCCTCCAAAACCGAGAGATAAATTGAGGGCCCCTGTCAGAAACGATATCCTGAGGTACCCCATGCAAGCGGAACACTTCCTTGGCAAACACCTGAGCAAGCTGAATCGCAGAAGGCAGTTTCTTAAGCAGAATAAAGTGTGCCATTTTAGAGAACCTATCCGTCACAGTCAATATCACCGTCTGACCATCAGAAGGAGATAGGTCCACAATAAAATCCATGGACAAGTGGGTCCATGGTTTCTTGGGTACAGATAGAGGCATCAGTAGACCCTGGGGTCTCATATTAGGAGACTTACACTGCGTACAGACCCGACAAGCCTGAACAAAATCCACTACGTCTCGCTTGAGTGAAGGCCACCAGAACTGTTGAAGGAGGCTCTTATAAGTCTTGGTAACCCCCGGATGACCAGCAGTTTTGGCGGTGTGAAATAAAGTTAACAACTTTTTTCTGTCATTTACTTTCACGTATAGTTTACCAACGGGCGTCTCAGGGGGTGCTTGGGTTTGGTATGTCTTAATATTCTCAAAGAAAGGAGACAAAACAACCAAACGGGTAGCAGCTATTATCTGAGACGCAGGTACAATAGGTTCAGGAGTCGGGTTAACAAATTCTAAAGGTTCATACTGTCGAGAGATAGCGTCAGCTTTGGCATTACGGCAACCAGGATTATAGGTAATAATGTATGGGAAGCGCGAAAGGAATAGAGACCATCTAGCCTGTCGGGCGGACAACCTTCTAGCATCAGCTATATAGGAGAGGTTCTTATGATCTGTTATAACCATAATATTGTGTCTAGAACCCTCTAATAAGTACCTCCATTCCTTAAAAGCTAACACAATAGCTAATAGTTCCCTGTTCCCAACATCGTAATTCTTTTCTGGATCAGACAACCTTTTTGAAAAGTAACAACAGGGATGGAGGGGTTTGTCACACGATAACCTCTGTGACAGTACTGCTCCCACCCCCGATTCAAAAGCGTCTACTTCCATAACAAAGGGAAGAGAAGGATTAAGGTGGTGTAGTACTGGAGCAGAGGCAAATGCTTTCTTGAGAGTTTCGAAGGCCTTAAGGGCTTCAGGAGTCCAAACCCTAGGGTGTAGACCTTTTTTAGTCAGCTTCGTGATAGGGGAGATAAGTGGTGAAAAGTTTTTTATAAATTTCCTATAATAGTTAGCAAAACCTATAAAACGCTGGATAGCCTTAAGTCCTTGGGGAAGTGGCCAGGACAGTATAGCTTCCAATTTAGCAGGATCCATACTAAAGCCCTGTTCAGTAATTATATATCCCAGGAATTGC